TCCTTTATTTTTCTGTTAGAAATTCTAAAATTTTGCCTTTCACTCCTAAATCTATAATCCATCTCTATTTATCTTATTTTTTATGGTGGAAACAATTTCATTATTCTTACTATGGGTAGCCAATTATGCTCTGTATTAGATAGTTCCTTCTTTCCCTAACATATTAGTTTTCTGTTATTTCTGTAATAGTTAACACAAACTTAAGTGGCTCGAAACACAACAGATTTCTTATTTTACAGTTATAAAGATCAGAAGTCTGAAATGGTTCTCATGCACTAAAATTAAGATGTCAGTAAGGCTGCATTCCTTCTGGGGGTTTTATGGGAAAATCTGTTCCTTGATTCCTCTAGCTTCTAGAAGGTATCCTTATTCTGTGCCTCATGGCTTCCTCCTGTCTTCAAAGCCAGCAACTGCATGACTCCAACCTCTGATTCTGTTGCATTTTTCTTTAATGTATAAGGACATTGAGCACACCTGGGTAATCTAGGATAATCTCTTCATCACAAGATTCCTAATTTAGTCAGAGTTGCAGAGTCTCTTTTGCAGAGTAACATATTTACAGATCCTGGGTATTAGGCCATGGGCATCTTTAGGGGGCCATTATACTGCTTTAGTGATCTGTACTGCCCCTGGTATCGTACATCATTTTAACATAAGGAGGATTCTGTTTCTGGATTTTGGATTCCACTGCTCCATTTTCTATCTGTGTTCCAGGACTACACATATCACATTGTCATAATTAATACAGCTTGATAATGAATCTTTGTATGTGATAGGCATAGTCCTCAACTTGTTCTTCTGCTTCTGAAAGCTTTGAGTATTCTTGGACTTTGATGTTTTCATACAAATTTTACAACCAGTTGGTAAGTTGATCCAAATCCTATTATGATTGTAATTAGAACTGTGTTGAGCTATAGATGTAATTGAAAATACTAGAAATTGAGACTTCATGTCCATGAACATGATCTGCCTCTCAGTCTATGTATATACATTTGACAGCTTTATTAATGTATTTTATATATTTTCTGTAAATGTTTTGATTATACAGAATTCAGTTTATTCTTAGGAAATCTTATTTATTTTTTACTGATGCTGTAAATGATATCTCTCTTTAAAAAAATTACTAATTATATGTTGCTTGTGCACAAAAATACAATTGATTTTTTATATTGATTTTGTATGAAACACCTTGCTAAGCTCTTTTACTTATTCTGATGATTTTTCTGAAATTACGTTAAGCCCTCTCTCTCTCTCTCTTTCTCTCTCTCTCTCTCTGTCTCTCTCCATATATATATACATATATATATATTATATATATGTATATATATAATATATATAAATTTTATATATATTATATATATTTCTTACTTTCTGATGTTTATTACATTTATTCAGTGGCTTGAATATTCATTGTTGAAGAAAACAAGAATGTGGATCTTTACCTTGTTTTTAATATTATTTTACTCATAAACACACTATTCTTATGGGTTTTTAGTAGAAAGCTTCTACTAAAATGAAGGAAGTTTCCTTCATTTTTCAGATGATATGAGTTTTACAAAGATTGGAACTGAATTTCATAAAATTATTTTTCTGTTTAAATAAAATGTTAGACTTTTTTCACATCCAAATAAAACGTTAACCATTTTTTCTCCATTGTTATAAATTAAGGGTTATAACTTAGGGGTTATAAATCTTAAACTACCTGTGTATTTGTGACAAACACAACTCAATCATCATGTGTTTTTTGTATATACAGCAGGCTGGTATTTTGTTAAGTGTTTTTTATTTCATGAGTGGATTTGCTCTATAAATTCTCTTTTCTGATATGCTTTTATATCAAGGTTATACTAGACTGCTAACTGAGTTGAGGGATATTTCCCCATTTCTTCCTCTGGATAGTCTGCTATTAGCTCACAAGCATAGCAATTTCCCAGTGATTTTCAAAACTGGCTCCCGTACATGCAGGGCAAGAACAGAGTGAAGAAAGAGGTAGGCCACTCCAGATTGGTAGGTGAAAGGTTTAATAAGCAAGGAACTTCTATATGAGACTTGTCTTGGGTGACTGCAAAATGAGTAGATCTTAGCACCTGCCCACCACAATCTTAAGAGTTTATACAGACGCCTTAATATGGTTCAGTCATGTTTACAGTCCAGATGGTCTAAAGGCTGTGTCCTTAAAGTGGCTCCGATTGTGGGAACAGTGGGTGGAACATAAATTCCAAGGATAAGGGAGGGGATAAAGAGCCTCTGCTTGCCAAAGTCCAGGTTGTGGGTCAATTGGCAGTCATATCTCAACGACTCCTCCAACATCTGCATAGATTGGAATGATGTGTTTCCTAAAAGTCTAGTAAAATTCCTATGTAGAAGTGCCTGCAATTAGTATTAGTTATGATACTGTTCTTAAATATTTCTATGTTTTCAACCTTCTAATTTTGCCTCCATTTTTAATTGAAGTACTATTTACGTACTGTGAAATGCACAGGTTTCAGTGTACAACTTGATAAGTTTTGACAAAAATGTACCTATACTTTCAACACAGTATAGAACACTTCCATCACCCCAGATGTTTCCTTCAAATAACTTTCCCGTCAGTCCAATCCTGGCCTTCTATTTTCATAGGCAACCACTCTTAGGAATTCTAACACCATGTATTATTTTGGCCTCTAGAACACTGTATTAATAGAATCTAATGTGATATACTTTTTTTGTATCTGGCTTCTTTCACTCAACATAATTGTGAGATATATCCATGCCATTATATTAATCAGTGAATTATCCCTTTCTATTTATGTATAAACTTGTTGATCTTTTCTCCTTGGATAGGCATTGGTTTATTTATAGTTTAATGGTGACTGTGAGTAAAATATTATGGAAACTCTTGTACAAGTTGTTTTGTGAACATGTGCTTCTATTTCCCTTGGTTAAATACCTAAGTAGAATTGCTAGGTCATAGCAGAACTCCATGTATGACTTTATACATAATAGCCAATCTTCCCAAGGTAGTTGTATCGTTTTAAACTGCCAACAGTAATTGCTCCAGTACTTCCACATCCTTATCCTCATCAATATTTGGTCTTTGTTTGTTTGTTTGTTTGTTTTAGTAATTCTGATATATGTGTGTTTAATTATTGACTTGATGGAATTTTTTATAGATTCTAGATACTAATCTTTTTTTAAAGTTTATTTATTTTTGAGAGAGAGAGAGAGAGAGAGAGAGCAGGGAAGGGGCAGAGAGAGAGACAGATTGAATCCCAGGCTCTCAGCACGGAGCCTGACGCAGGGCTCAGTTTCATGAACTGTGAGATCTTGACCTGAGCCAAAGTCAAGAGTCAGACAGACGCTAATTGTCTGAGCTATGTAGACACCCCATAGATACTAGTTTTTTTTTAAGTTTGTATTTTAATTCCATTCAGTTAACATACAGTGTTACATTTAGATACTAATCATTTTTCAGGTGTATACACAGGGAATATAGTCTCCCAATCTGTGGCTTGTCTATTCAGTTTCTTAGTGGTTTGGGGATCAGCAAAAGCTTTAGTGAGTGCTGTTTGCTTCATATTAAGTAACTTTTCCCAGTTTAAATTTGCAAAGGCATTCTTCTATGCTTTCTAACTAGAATTTTTATAATTTTAGATTTCATGTTTAGATCTATGATAGATCTCAAAATAAAGTTTGCCTAAAAGCGAGGTGGGATAGAAAAGTTTTTTTGTGTGTTTGTTTTCTTTTGGTGTTTTGTTTTGTTTGCATATGATTATCCAAATGTTCTAGCTCCATTTGCTAAAAAGATTTGCTTTTCAAATATTATTACTTAGGCATTTTTTCTGAACATCAATTTACCTTGTAAGTGGTCTTTCTGAACTTTGTACTGTTCTGTTTATCAACTTCCCTATAGGTACAACAATCCACACTTCAGTACAATATTAAATAAATGTGGTGAAAGCAGACATCCTTGAATTTATCCTAGACTTAGGGGAAAAGCATTTAGTCTTTCACCACTCAGTAGGGTGTATTTCTTACTACAGGATTTTAAAACATATAGAGAAAAACTCTCGTTTAGAAAGAAGTTACTTAATTTTATTTATCTTTGTTTTTCATTTACCCAACACAGCTTTTGGTGCATTCTACGGTTTTTGGTGCATTCTAACCCCTTTTTATTTTTTATTTTATTAAAATAATTTATTTCTTTATTTTTGAGAGAGAGAGGGAAAGAGAGAGAGAGAGAGAGAGAGAGAGAGAGAGAGAGACAGAGCATGAGTGGGGAGGGGCAGAGAGAGAGAGGGGGACACAGAATCTGAAGCGGGCTCCACGCTCTGAGCTGTGAGCACAGAGCCCAATGTGCACTTGAATCAGACTTTGCGATCATGACCTGAGCTGAAGTCGGACACTTAAGCGACTGAGCCACCCAGGCACCCCAAAGCCCTTTCTATTTCTTAAATTAATAGGTGAAAGATTATTCAAGTCATTTGGTGTGGAGTATGTTAGTAACTGACAATATACTCCAATAACTGCTTTTATTTCACTTGTTTTTAACTATGTTTTAGGAAGAATAACATACTGAATAGACCCTCTAGAATTTCCTGTTTAGAGAAACTGTTTTGTATGTATGCACTATCAGTAGTGTTTTAAACTTTTCTGTATATGTGTAGTTTTCAATAATCTGTTTGGAGAGAAAAAGCTTTTAGTAATTTTGTAACCATTGTGCTCCTCCCTAATTTCTTTTTTGTAAGTGATTTATTTATTTGATTATGTAAGTATATGACAGGTTCAATATATTATTGATTTTGGCAGTCTTTTAGGAAGAGGCATCCTTCTTAAAAATGGATCGTAGATGAGAAGATCTGAAATAGTTTTTGTGAGTGTATGTGTCTCTGTGTGTGTGAATGGCATAACTCTCTTCTGCATGGTAAAGTTTGAAAAGCCCACAGCCCATCATTTATTTTTGGTGCAAATTATTACTTTTTTCTACTTTAAAACAGAATTCTATTGATTTTGTTTCCTAGTTCAATTTTGTGGGGAAATTGCTTGGACCAAGAGGAAACTCCTTGAAGAGACTACAGGAAGAAACAGGTGCTAAAATGTCTATCCTGGGCAAAGGATCAATGAGAGATAAAGCAAAGGTACTGAACTTTGAATTTGATATTTAACACATACAGGAGGTTACCTGTAACACTGATGGCCAAACTTACAAGCATATCTGCACTGTTGTCCCATCATTTCCTGTGATTTTTCACCTTCTGGGACCACCCTATTGCACTCCCTGTTGATTCTTCTATTTTCGTAAAAATTCAATTACCCGCCTTTTTTTCCCCAGAACATGTAATTCCATATCTTTATTCTCTTTAGTCCTTTGTGTAAATTGTTGTCAAATCTTTTCACTTTTTCTGTGTCTTCTGTAGGATGTTTCTATATGTCTATGCTCATTTTCTTTAATTCCCTGTCTGGATCCCCTTTCTCTCTTCAACTATGTCACCTAATCACATCCATTATATCATTGTCTCTTTTTATCTCTTTGCTCCATTTCACTCTGGCCCTCTTATCTAAAGCAATTTCAAATACTCATCTGCAAATCTAAGAGAATTCCACTCATTTTCTTAAATGTTTCAATTCACCTGACCTCAAAAGAACAAATAAGCTAAGAAATAGATGAACTTTGATATTTGAAATGATTTCCTTCATATCTGAACGACATCATTGTCCCATTTTATAAAGTGAAAGCAATTTTCAATGTGTTAGAATTCACTGTTTTGGAAAAATAACAACCATTTGTAGAGATCTATTCATAAAGGATCCTTTAAGATTCATTGAGAAAAGGTGGGTGTGTTAAGGTAGTATTATTTGATCAGGCCATGCTTTTCTGATTCAGTATGTTACCATGGAAAATATAATTTTCAAACATTTATTTCTGAATATGGGAATTACTTAGAAAATTGTTTAGGAGTTCTCCCTTTTAACTGTTAATGTGAAATCTTGAATAAATTTATAGTGGGAAATGTCACTGTACAGATAGCTCATAATCTTACAATGTAAACTTCATATTGTGCGCTTTTTATATTCTTCAAACTTTCTTAAAAGTTAGATCAGGCATCATCTCCCCAACAGGGATTTCCTGACCTCCTGTGACAGGCTAAATCCTCTCATCACAACGTATTTTATTGAAATGTTTGGTTTCTCTCATTAAACTGTATACTCCCACCAGGTGGAGAAATATCCTTGTCAGCTTTGCCTACTCAGAGTATCTGTGTAGTCCCTCCCTCTGTAGCTTTCAAAGTAAATAAGTATTTATTGCTTTTTTCCCATATATTTGGAAGTTTTTTTTTCTGTTCACAAAGTTGTACATTGGATGCCTTTTTTCCTGTTAGGTACCAGCATAAGTATTTGAAAATCTAGGAGGAAACAAATTTGGTTCTATTAAGTTTCTATTATGTTTAATTTACTAATATTAGCTGTTGCTTGAAATCCAGGTTCTCATTGATTACTGTTTGGGTGATCCATCATGTTTGCCTATGCTTCAACTATTTTCATTGTTCTTCTACAAAATGAAAGAAAATAAGAACATTTAAGAACAACAATAGGGGTGCCTGGGTTGCTCAGTCGGTTAAGCCTCTGACCTCAGCTCAGATCATGATCTCAGGGTTCATGGGTTAGAGCCCGTGTTGGGCTCTATGCTGACAGCTCAGAGCCTGCAGCCTGCTTCAGATTCTATGTCTCCCCCGTCTCAGCTCCTCCCCCGCTTGTGCTCTCTCTTAAAAATGATAAACATTTAAAAAAATTTTTTAATATTAAAAAAACAGCAACAATAATGTATTGCACTGTAAACTCCATTTTATAGAATCTAGATAAGGTATTAAATGCCAAGGGTGGTGGGCACACAGATGACATAAAACCACAGACGTGGATATGCAAAAGTTCACCTTAGTAAACACTTTATTAAAATAAAAAAATAAATCCTTGTTAAAACATTGATTACTATGCTGCTGTTTTACCTCTTCCCAACATGACCTGATCAGGAAGAAAGATTTTATATGTGATTTTATTCTTTTAACAAATAAAACTCATATGATTCTTCTGTGGAAGTATCTCTGTGTGTATGTGTTATACAGCCACACAGGAATATATTCATGCATTAATTGCAGAAGTATTTGTTGCTATGTGTCACACTATGTGTCATCCATAGTCTCCTCCTAAAGTTTACATTCCAATGGCAGAGACAGATAATAAATAAATGAATAAGCACAATTTAATAATTATTATGGGTTGAAATACTACGGATTGTTTTTCTGTGTTGACTCTGCTATTAAGATGCTACACAATGTATGTCCTAAACTTGATCTTTGCTTCACGACAAAAAGGAGATACTTGGGTAGTTGTCTAAGTCAGGACAAAATAACTATGCAAAAGTCTTGCACTTCTGCTATGTGCTTACCTGTAGATTAAATATCATGGTCTATAGAAAATAAATATTAGACATGAGTCAAGCCCTCACAAAACTTTTAATTTAATTAAACATCCTGATATGTTTAACGCTTTCTTTTTTTTAAATTTTTTTTATTGTTTATTATTTTTGAGAGAGAGAGACAGAGAGACTGAGAGCAAGCAGGGAAGGGGCAGAGAGAGAGGGAGACACAGAATCGGAAGCAGGCTCCAGACTGAGCGCTCAGGACAGAGCCCGACGCAAGGCTTGAACCCACAGACCACGGATCATGACCTGAGCTGTAGTCGGCCACCCAGCTGACTGAGCCACCCAGGCACTCCTGTTTAACACTTCCTTTAAAAAAAAGTTAAGAAAGCATCAATCATTGAATTAGTAGGTGGAAAGAGTGACACACTCATTTAATTTTATAATTCTAATAAGACGTTTTCATCCTTAGCAAAGCATGACATTTTAAGATTTATTCTAAGATCATTATAAAATTGCATGGTATAGAAAATAGTTCTAGTGGTTTAGTGTAGTAAAGAGATTCTACCAATTTTAATGTTTTTATTTGTGTTATTTTGGTTTTGATGGATTTGGGGGAAATATTCCTTTTAGTTTCGTGATACCTAGCCAATAACTCTATAAGCAAAGAAAGGAAACAGAGCCAAAACAAAGTGAAATGTGGTAATATCCAAGGTAATACCAGTGGCAAAATCTTACCATATATTCAATATTTTGTTCCCATAGTGGTCAGATCACTGAATATATGAACTCACATTTTACCTAAAACTATGCAGGAATGCTTGAACAGAAGCTGGCTTTTAAATTGTGATGATAAAGGTATTCTTAGAGAAAATTAGGAGGTAATATATACAGCATGTTTGCGATATTTCAAAATATCTCAGGAAATTAACTGGCAGTTCAGAAATTTCTTTAAAGTCTACATCCCTCATGCACCATATGGCCAGCCAGTTCGAAATAACCATGCAGCTGCCGGCTTCACTAGCGGTTGCTTCTGAGCAATCTTCAGGGGTAACTTACTGTAGCTTCGGATAGAGTGTTGCTATTTTTAGTGATGCTGATGGCAGAGATTGGTGTGGGAGAACAGAGGAAGCAGTGGTCTACAGGCTTATCTTTGAAAAGAGTGAGGAGCAAACATATTATCTTCAAGAGAAAAGGTTTGAGAGTCTAGAGAAAATCAGACAAAAGCCAGTCACCCCGATAACAGTGAAGAAACCACAGAAAGCATCAAAGCAAATTTCTTGCATACTTCCATTGTCCTTAAATGGAAATCACAAATAGACATGTTGCAAATAAAGGATGTTGTAATGACAGGTGTTCTGGCATTTCTATTAATAAGCTTGGTTGAAATTTTGGCATGTAGTCTTAGAACATGCTGGTTATTATATGTTAAAAGTAAAGTGCCATTTGGTGGAGTTTTATGTGAAACTGTGTGATAATTCTCTAGGCAAGCCTTTCTCTCTTTGATGTGCTAATATCATGTGCAGTTTCTATTTTATAATATATCTTCTGTATTGGGTGATGGCTACTTTAGTAAATCCTTTTCTGATTTCATGGCAATTTGATTTTCATCAACAATAAAATCAACCGAAAACCTTCAAAGTGATGCTGCTGCCTGGTGGGTGTGAACCCTGTACCAATCATCCTTCTCTCATTTGGCTTCTGGGCTATGCCTCACATCAAACAGCACTGTTAGTCTCTCAAATCCTGAAGGGGAGAGGCTCTGCTCACTGCCTGTCAGTCAGGCTGGGATCGGTTATAAAGACTCCTGTTTCAACTTTTTAACACCCCCAACAACAAAGCAACTTGTAATCCCACAAAATCAAGAGCCCAGACACCATGATTTTAATTTTAGCTGTGCCCCGTAATAAACTGCACCATAGATCAACAATATTTTTTTCTCAGCTCCCCTCTGCAGGAAAGAATGCTTAGCCCAATCGTGACTTCCAAACAGAGATAGGGGAGTAAGCATTATTCTTTGCCTAAATATCACTTGAGTTTGTGAAGGACAAAGAGTATATCAGAAATTACAGATAGGTGGAAATTTATTTTTTATTTATTCACTGCATTCGTCTGTTTCTTGGATCTGAATTTTGAGAAATTAGATTTTAACAGACTAAACGGTTACACCTGAGCAGTGGCACATGTGCTAAGGAACATTGGATTGCAAACATATATTTTGTGAGAATGCAAGGAAACCAGTTTTAATGGCGAACCAACACAAGGTTATATCAACCTATGATATATTACGACTCCAAGTGACCAAACAATTAATATAGTCAGGTTTGAGTTGAAGAGTGAAATATATCGTCACACTAGTGAGAAATAATTTTTACATTAACATCTTCAACCCTTTTATGTGTAAATAATTTGTCATTCATTGCAGTGGGCTTTGACCTAAGAATGAAAACAAAACAAAACAAAACAAAACAATATCCATAAATCTATCCAAGCTCTGGTCTTCATAAGCTTCATTGACAGAGCATGAGGTGGCAGTGTTTTGCATGTTGTGAATCAAAATTATATATATGTTTTATTTTTATTTTTGTTTAATGTTGATTTTTTGAGAGACAGAGTGCGAGCCGGGGAGGGGGAGAGAGAGAGAGAGAGAGAGAATCCAAAGCAGGCTCCAGCCAGTTAAATGGAGAGGGCTTGTGTAGGTACCAGTGGGGAATCCCAGTG